AACTACCTATATAAATATAAATAAATAAATAAACATACATAATGGTGAAAATTATGATAAATAATTCTGTATAAAAAAGAATCCGCAGAAATCATAGTAAACATTACCTTTTCAACTTTGTCACCAAGAATCTTTTTGATTTGTTTACACACATTTTCAAATCGTTTAGCCAATTCTTCATGGTTATTCTTTTCCACCTCGTCTTCATAAAATTCTAATCCTTCCTTAGTGACACAGACAAGTTTTTTACCATCATACTCTTTGAGTTGCAGCATACAATATTCATCGATCGGATCTGTCATTAGCAACACTTCATAACCTTTATTCTTAAGAACTTCAACAAATGGCGATTTTTCTACTGCCTGACGATTTTCACCAGTGATATAATAAATGACCTTTTGTTTATTTGGCATTCTTGTAACATAGTCCTTCAATGATGTCATTTCGTCAGAAAATTTGGTTGAATAATAACAAAGAAACTCTGCTAGTTTGGCTTGATTCTGTGGATCATCATGAATACCGAGTTTGATATTCTTGGAAAAAGAATCATAAAATTTGGCAAAATTTTCTTTATCTTCCGCAATCTCATTAATTAATCCCAAGCTTTTTTTGACAAGATTCCTATTGATAGCCTTAATTATCTTGTTTTTTTGAAGCATTTCACGAGAAATGTTAAGTGGCAGATCTTCAGAATCTACTATGCCCTTGACAAAGTTAAGATATTCAGGCATCAAATCTTCGCAATTATCAGTGATGAATACACGTCTCACATAAAGTTTGATATTATTTCTTGTTTTTTTGTTTTCGAAAATATCAAATGTTGGACGTCTAGGAATAAAAAGAATCGCTTTAAATTCAAGTTGACCTTCGATGGAGAAATGCTTAAGAGCCAAATGATCTTCCCAATCATTAGTAATGGATTTGTAGAAAGCAGCATATTCTTCATTGGTAATAACTTCAGGATTACGAGTCCAAATCGGTTTGATTCTGTTTATTTCTTCGACTACTTTAACGATCTCTTTGATCCGATTCTTTTTCTTTTCTTCTCTCTCTATAAATTCAACCTCTTTTTCAACTTCTTTTTCAACAACAAGTTGAATTGGATGTCCAATAAATTCAGAATGTTTCTTGACAACTTCTTTAATTTTATGTTCATCCAAATATTCAAGTTGATCGTCCTTGAGAAACAATCTAACCACAGTACCACGATCGAGAGGTGAATTAAAAGTGTCACGTACAATGGAGAAACACCCACCAGCAGCTGATTCCCAAATGTATTGCTCATCGTCATTGTGTTTGGTAATTACTTGAACTCGGCCAGCAACCAAGAATGCAGAATAAAAACCGACTCCAAATTGACCAATCATAGATATATCAGCTCCAGTTTGAAGTGCTTCCATAAAGGCTTTAGTACCTGATTTAGCAATTGTACCGAGACTACTAACAAGTTCTGACTATACGATAGCAATGATAATTATATGATATAAAGCAAACAAAATAAACAAATAATTTTTCTTTCGTATTATACAAAAAAATTAATTTAATAATATATATATTATCGCACCTTTGTCATTCCAATACCAGTGTCTCTTATAGATAAAGTTTTGTTTTCTTTATCGGAAAAGATTCTAATGTAAAGTTCATTTACAGCCTCAAGCTTTGAAGGATCAGTAAGAGATTCATATCTAATCTTGTCCAAAGCGTCAGATGCATTTGAGATCAATTCACGAAGGAAAATACTATATAACAATAAATAAATATATAAAAAATTTATTTTCAATTATTTTTTAGGAGGGTTCCTTTTTGATAAATAATATTAAAAAAAAAAAGTACTCTTTATTCGAATAAAAAGTGTTGATAATAATAGACATAAGTTGAGTAATTTCAGCTTGGAACGCAAATTGTTCGACTTCGGCCATTTTTTTCAATTCTTTGGTTTTTTTAAATATGTATATAATAAATGTATATATAAAAATTATTTAATGAAAAAGTGAAAAAAGAATTTTGAAGATAACAAAAGAGTTTGCTAATTTTCAAAATAATTTAATCATATTAATAATGGTATTGTTTGGAATCTTCTAGTAATAATTTTGTAATTTTGTAGTAAAGGAGGAGCTGATATTAAATTTATGACATTAAGATCAACAAAATCTGTTTACAAATCGCATTTTCCTTGATCAAGCACCACCCTCTATGGGATTCACAAAAAATTACAGGGATCGATTTGACTCGCGTTAAAATTCTTTCGCTTCAAAGAACAATTTATTTTAGCGCTCAATCTCAGTATGAGTAAAAGAATTATAAATAGGCAAAGAAATTAATTATATTAACAATATCAAAAAATCAGCCATAACTCTTGTTAATGTTTTATAATATTTAATATTTAAATATTTATATTAATAAAACTGTTATATATTTTTCTCAAAATAAATAAAACATGACTTATTTTTTGATCCTTTTCTTGTATGTGAATGAACACCTTGGTGGAAAATGTTTATAATGATTTCGTGATATATTCAGTATATTATTATTTGAAATATTTTTTCTTAAATAAAAAAAATAAATGAATAATATTAATTAAATCCAACATATTGAGTTTAGGTATCAGGTTTGATGAAACCGTCATTTTCGTGCCTACGAAAGTACCTTCCCGTTATCCTTTGTAGTGATACTTTAGGAATAATGAACTCTGAACGTAGGAGAGGCTTCAACTAGCGATGGGCGTTAGCATTTATAACAACTATGCGCCTGCTTAAACTAACTTCTATTATTCAGGAAAGATTATAATGATTAATATAATGTATCAATTTATGAGTCCAAATGCTTTACTCACCTAACAGCCCAAGCACAAATCTAATTTTACGAAGATAGGAATATCCCGCCTCACTTATTATGTAATAGAATCTAAATGCAATATAGAATAATTACATAATAGTAAATTTCCGAAATTAGTATTTAAATGTTTAATAAAATGAACGAATATTTCAGGCCTTGTTTGATTGTTACGCTTGACGATCATAACTATTTATGGAATGTAATCAAATAGATCACACGCGTATGTACACATGATTTTCTAGAAATTCTAGAAATTCTAGATAAAAAAAATATTTACTTGTTTAAATGTTCATGATGCACTAGACGAAAAAAATTCAAAATAATAAACAAATAAAAGAATTGGTGCAATTCATTGGCCCAATAGATAACTTGCGTTATGGTAAAATGATGATAATTGTTGATCAAGGCCTTGATGAAAGGGCTTAATCGTCAACTTTTTCACTCATCATCGTCAAAACAATCAGGCTTCTTCAAGAGTTTATTGCACCAATCATAATTGCAAAAAAAAAGAAAATTTTATCATTCTTTAGATTACCAGAATTTTGAGGAATAGAAACATCAGTATGATAATAGAAATGGGTATAAAAAAATTCTTGTAAAATTTTCCAACCAATGGATGAAGAGGATCTTAGATGCACTGATTTGCAAATGTACATTGAAAAGAGAGGTGAAACTTACATTGGCTATAGAGATGATGAAATAACAATAAAGGTTTATATAAATAAGTATTTTCGCCGTATAATAATGTTTGTTCAATTCCTTCTGTTATAGATGGTTTGAAACCTAGTCAAAGAAAGGTTTTATCAAAAGAAATTTGGTTAAAAGACATATTAAAGTATTACAACTAGCTGGTTATATTTCTGAGGATACTGCATTCCATCACAGTGAAACTAGTCTTCACTCTACTATAGTCAATCTTGCCCAAGATTTTATAGACACCAACTATTAATTTATTAGAACCTATGGAACAGTTTGGTAATAGAAATGATGGTGGTAAAAGCGCAACAAGTGCTCTTTATATTAATACCAAGCTCTCTTCATTTGCAAGATTAATCCATAATCCAAACGATGTTATATTACTAAACTTTCTAAATGAAAATGGACAACAAAATTCGATGCTCACATTATCCCAATGGTTTAGTTAACCAATTTTAATCCCAAAGAGATTATCTAGAATTTGAGAAGAAAAATTATGAGAGAAAATGATCTCGATGTCATGGGAAAATTAAAAGGCAAGTTAATATTATGAAAATTCTAATAAAATTCATTCATATGAAAATTGATGGTCAAATGAAATTATTTGAATCTTTTTAATTTGACAAAATATACAACGATGAGCCACAAACACAATCTGATGATTTTGATGTTCTCGATAAAAGCTTCAAAGGGTATGATTGATTATCTTGTATTGATTTAAAGGGTAGGAAACTCTGAAGAAAAAATGCAAACCCTACAACAAAAAAAAGAAAATTTTAGAATTCAAGAAAAGGTAGTGCAGTAACTAGGGCAAACTTTACACAAAATCATCTAATATTTATGCCAAACAAGTTAATAAGCAGCAGTGAATGGAAAAGAATACTTTGCCTCTCTGGAAAATTAAATTGCCAGCATCAGTTACTCTGCTTTTTTACTATTTATGGGAGAAGAATTTAATCAAAAATTAGCACAAAGGTAAGAAATCAACAGGTCGATTTAATAAGCAAAAACACGAAACTTATAACAATCCCGTAATAAAAAACTTGGCAGGAGAATTTCTTATTGTCTGCTTTAAAATATTGAAAAGATCAAGCCTTGGAGTAAGGTTTGCTGCCAGTTTTGGATTAAAGCAAAACACTGAACTATTTAATAAGGAAGTAGATTGTCAAACTTTATTCTTTTTGCTGTTACTTCTACCTGCGAAACTGAAAAATCATCAGACTCTTTACTTTCTTGTTTAGGTTGAATTGAAGCTGATGATATTGCTCAACCAAAAAAAAATATTCTTATAGAAACATTATTATTGGTTTTTATTTTAAATTTTCTTGATTTGGTTTTATTGGCTTTGTTGCTGGCTCGAAAAAGTGTAAGCGTGTATATGTAAAATATGCATTTAGAATAAATGATAATTTCCTAACGTCAAAGAGTATTATTGGTGTATATACAATTGTGATTTAAATTTTTAGAGATCAAATTAAAACGTTCAATTTACCTGGTTTAATAATATTAATAATTTTTTAATATTTTATATTTTATTTAAAATTCTAAATAATAACAATGATAATAATAATATAATATATATAATGATGATGGATTGATTTTTTATATAATTAACATGTATATATATGTGTGTGTGTGCGTGTGTAAATAAAAAAATTAAAAAATTATATTATAATGAATGGTTTACAATTGAAAAAAATGAATCTTTTTTTTGGACAAATATTAAAATTTAAAGTGAAAAAGTTTTTTTAAAGAAAAAGTCCCATGAAAATAAAATAAAATAAAAACCAGTAAATTCTTCAACATTATTATTAATTATTAGTTGATAAGAGAGGGACCATTCCCATTCATCACTGTAGCTTTATAATCTTCAGCTGTCATTTTATGTCTCGCTCTGATGAACATGGGACCGTCATTTTGTTGAACTAGAATAAAAGAAAAAAAAAATCAAAGATTAAGATCATTATCATCATCATCGTCATTATATAGAAAGTAAAAAAGAATTACCATTATTTATAAAATCATCAGTTGATTTTAAAAACGTCGATGTTCTATTATTATTCCTGCTATTAAAACTATTTCTAATATTATGATTATTTTTACTATTGTTTCTACCTTTATTTCTTTGATCCGCAACAGCATAATGTGATTGATTCATCCAATAAAGCAATCTACTTGGACTACTCAATACGCCAGTTGTCTCAACCCTAGTCATCCATTCCAAAGCTGCCTTGTCAGATGTTCTTGTGACAATACGATCAAATATTTTTGACTTATTGTTACTACTACTCTTATTATTATTGCTGCTGTTAACGTATGATAATTTAGGAGAGTATTTTGAAGGATCAATGATATTTATAATATCATCATTATCATGACTAATAGTAATATTTCTTTTATCATTACTATAATAATTACCACCATCGTTATTGTTGTTATTAATATCATTGTCATCATCAGAAGATAAAAATAACAAGTTTGAAATAACATTACTCAAATATTTTTCAAAAAATTCTATAAATATTATATAAAAATACTCGAAATTTTCATTAGAATTTCCAAAATAAAGTGAGTCGTTGAATTGTTTAATAATCTTTAGATCATATATTTGTTGTGGTATCAATTTTTTATTGTTTATTATTATTGATGGGAGAAATCGAGAGATCGTCGATGATAACGATGATAATTTTTGTTGTTGATTTTTTTTTTTATCAGCAAATAAAATAGTGTGCGCACGATCGTCCACATACAAATTATACCAAGCGCCTGGTTGCAGTTGATGTTCAACAGGATCAAACAATTTTTCGTTTAGTACCAAGTTCATATGGATTGGTTGATGAGGTGGTGGTAATTGTGAGTAGGTGGAGAGAGTGCCATTATTTTCCCAAAACGTCGATGACGATGTTTGTAATACTTGTTGTTCTGAATCAGAAGAAAATTTGTAGCGACCAAGGAAAAATGAAATCAAAAAGGTAGGTATGTTGTTCCAACTTAAACGAGGCCAATAATAACCGGTGACTTTTGATCTCCATGATTGACCGGTGGTTATATAGTTGATGTAGACACAACTACTGTTCAAACAATGTTTATCCTTCTCCTCGCCAGCATACCTCATCCTAGCACCTTCAACCGACCAATCCACCAAAAAATTATCACCAAAATAAGCAAATCGACTGCGAGCAGAAATGGCACTCCATATTGATTGCTCGCCACCATCACATCCTTTCCTTCTCAAATTCCATTTATCACTCAACAGCTGGAATGAGAAAAAACGCTCCAAACAAGCAAAATAGCAAATTAAATGAACCATCGATAAGATAAATTGAAGGATGCTAAGTGGATGGACGATACACTTTGAGCCAGGTTCAAGACCAAGTAAGTAAGGGAGAGTCGAACCACGATGAGGAGCTGATAAACAAATTATGGCTTTTATCCACGTTCCTGAAGTGTTTTGGCCAAAGAAATTTGTTTCTAAAAGATGTTGAAGATGAAGTGCTGTTGTTGCGCCATATCCTTTACCTGCAATCAATAAATTTTAAGAATCGATGTAGTGTGAATGAAAGTTACGTTGATTTTATTTTTTTGTAGAGTTGAAAAGAAAAATGGTTAAAAATTAATTATTACATTACCAATTAAAACGATTGGATTTTCAGCATCCCAATCAGGAATTACACCATCATATGTTTGACCTAATTGCTTATGACAGAATCGATGAGAATGAGAGAGTCCATAGTCCTAATTTCAATATGATAAATATAATATTAGCATTAGCACTATCACTGATTACAAAATTATCATAAACATTACGCAAAATGACAAATGGCACTTACAACTTGACCACCCTTCAATTGATAAAAAATTTCAACCGCTCTATCATGAACGGACTATAAAAATAAATAAAATTAAATTATTGAAAATCTGTCAAAAAAATATCAATTCCATTCTATGTGCCTAATCTAATTCAGATTCTAATTTGAATTTTAATTCAAGTAAAAAAAAAAAAACTGATCCAAATTTTTTATCTATAACTTACACCAAGAGGACTTGGTTTAACGATAATTGGATCTTCGACGATTTCTTTGACATCGCTCCAATAATCAGCAATTGTGTAGTTTTTTCCACCTGGTAAATTTATCTCGATAGTATCAAAGCCCCATAAGCCGGATATTAAAACAAACGTGTCTTTATCTTCACCCTCAAAATTCAACGATATATCTTCCTCCGCCTCCACCTCTGCTTCAACTTTAGCCATTTTCTCTATTGAAGCGGAAGTTGTTTCGAATGTATTTTTCGTTGTTGTTTCTATTGGAGTTGCGCCATAAACAAATGAACCATTGACGGTTTGGTCAACTTCTGCTGAGTATAAGTCATCATCTTGGAATATACTCGCAGTATTTGAATTATTGTTGTTGTTATTATTATTGTTGCTGTTGTTGCTGTTGTTGTTGTTGTTGTTGTTGTTTTGTTTGGAAAGTAGAGATTGAAAAAACATTTTGTTTGAATTTTATTATTTATTTTGAAGAAAAATTTTGTTTTTTATAAAAAATATTTTTTTATTTTAAAAAAAAAATCTTTATCTCTTTATTGGTGGTGTGTATTTTTATATAATATAATATAATAATAATTATTATAATTTTGTATTATATATATAATTGTTGGATATTATTGTTGTTTTATTGTTAAATTTTACTGATTGAGAGAGAAAAAAAGGGTCTTCTTATATTGTTATATTTATTTACAATAAATATAATGGATAATTGATTGAATTGTGTGGTTGATGATTGAATTGAGAATGAGCGCGAGAGTGAGAGTGAGAGTGAGAGTAAGGATTGGAGCGAGTGAGGTTAATTGATTGATGGATAAATTTTTCGTTGTTTGGTACACAATAAAACATACAACCGTAAATAAAATGTTAAAAAATAATGATATTAGTAATATATAACAGATGAATATTTTTTTAAAAAAGTTTTTTAAAAAAAAAAAATAAGAATTTTATATTGTTAAATAAATTATAATTGCATGATTCATAACCAAAGAAAGAAATAAACAGGAAAAAAGTTAAAAGATGATAATCAGAAAAAATTGTTTTTTTACATGTGGCGTTTGATTTATGCATAAAAATCAAAAAATATGCGCAATTAAATTGCTCTCGTTTTACTCGTTTTTTTTTTAAAATATTTTTAGATAATAAATAATAATTTTTTTTAGCTTACCATATATAATAAATATCATGTATGTAGGTTGTATACATGTATATAAGGATGTAAAGACGTTGTTCGCAAAGAAGAAAAATAATATACAAGCGAAAGAACAAAGGGAAATAAAGAGGATGACGATTAAAAATGATTTACGGATGGAAAGTTAGAAAAAGAGAAGAAGGATGATGGTGTGTAAAATGGGCGAAGAGAAAGAGAAGATAAAGAAGTTTCACAAATACTACACCAAAATAAAAAGATAATAATAAAACTTTAAAAAACTTGTTTTTTTTTTTTTTTTTTATTAAAATTTTTTTTTGATGATTTCTATAAATTATTCCAAAATATTACTTTATAAGTAAAAATTTTTTTTGAATTAAACATATAGTCGAGTTCATGTGAAAACACCCAACAATTAAACATTATGTATAAATAATAATAAAACAATGATATTCATCCACCCATCAATCATATGCAGCAGACATTTATTACCCGCAGGTGTACTATTCTGGAAATTATTTGCTAAACTATTTTAGCTATCCCAGAGAAATAATATAATGCCCTACTATGGGGAGAATGTTAAAGAATGAATGTACACATACATACATCGTCATATTATTAAGGGGATATATTTTTTATTTGATCCCCCCATCCAATAGATCAAGTTCACAAGGGTTATATAATAAAAACATATGAAACTAACTTATTTCAAAAAAAAAAATTTTTTCCACGAAGAATGAAATTAAATGCAAATATTTATGATAATAAATAATATTATTATTATCATTACATTTTGACAGGCCATTATTGCAAACCTTGGATGTTTAACGAGTTAAATTTCTTGTTTTTTCAAATTTTATATTGTTATTTACAAACAAAATGTGAATCGATGATTGATTGGTTCGTTTGCGTGTTTGTGTATTAGTATGTGCGTTTATTTCGTTTTTATCAACGTAATAATGAGTTTTCCCAAATTAGATAAGGTTTTTTAAGGAGGAAAATCTGAAATTATTGCAATATTTTGATTGGTTGGTTAAAATATTTTTATTTTTTAAAATAGTCATCATATGCATATCATTAGATTAGATCATCAAGCATAATATGGTAAAGTGTACTAGTTATAGATATCGCTGCCTATTTTAATTGTTACACTTGAAAAAATTTTATTCCGACTCACATGAATTGCAACATATTTTCAACACTCGCTACTTAATTAACGGCTGATTGATCTCTCATTTTTCATTCAAACACTCACTAATCCATCCACACATATGCACACACGCACAACAAATTCTTCTCCACACACGTAATACTTCTTAAAAGGAAAGTAAATGAAAAGGGAAATATGCGGAAAGGAGCAAATCAATGAATCGATAGTTGAATATCGCATTTTCCAGTTCATTCAAGCCAAATGTTGTTTTTTAAAACCCATAATATTGAAAAAAAATAAGATTAAGATTTTAGTCGAATAAAAAAATAAAGATTATGATTTTCGTTTTCATTCTCAAATAATAATAATGATTTCAATAAGCGCGATTAACCTTTCGAGTATTAAATAAATATTGCGTGTTCATCTTTATTTACTCTGAATTAGTTAGTAATTTCGTTTTAAAAAGCAAAAACTTTATTTTATAATAACTATTATTATCTGAGAAAGCTAGATTTTAGCCACCTACTAATCCTCATGTTTCCTTAATCTTCATGATTATCACAGTTTATTCAATGTCAAAGCATTTATCCTGAAACATTACTTTTTGAGAATTAACCTACAATCATGTGGTAAATTATTGAAAATTAAATATTTTTCCTCTAACCATTTCCTATTCACTGCCAAAGACAAACTTTTAATATGAATATTAAAGATTTTTATTACTACATTATTGTCAAGAAGATTTAACTGATTTAATTGTTTGTTTATTTGTACAGCTTATCCAAGAACTACGCACACAACTGGTGTAGTGACCCCGACGAAAGAAAATAAAATTTGGCATCGTTACCTAGACTTGGCTTAAAAGTCTGTGTTTTTCTTTATACTCTATTCTACCCCTGAAAGAAATTACCCGCATGGATGGAACCGAATCATGATTACCATCCAGGTTTGAGATCATTGTTCTAAAGTCTTCCCCCTTCTGATAAACTACTCTATAATAAATAGAAAAATATTACAGAGGGGACAATATTTACATATGATGTAAATCAAATGAGAAAAGAAAACTTTGTTCATCAAGGACGGCTGGATAAATCTAGCATCTATCTAATCTACCTATGCATTACCCCAATTATATTATATGATATTAAATTATTAAGGAACGATGAAAATAATATCACAATCATACTATTAACTAGTTTGTTAAATTTTGATCTTCGGCTTTTTTTGTGAATAAGCAAAGAATTGGAAATTGCAAGTATCAATTAACATAAAATTAAAAATATAATACATCTTATTTATTTATCCACGCTGTAATTATAGCCACGGGATATCCTAGTATGCTATTACTATTACTCGGGCGTTCTATTTTATTTTATTTTACAGTAGAGCTTACGAACCATAAAAAATATTTGAATATTTGTTTCTTTTTTAGTAAAGATTTTCAGCGCAAAGCTATATATCTTTTCACTTCTGTTATTAGGACGATCAATTCATGCTCTAGATTTTAACGATGATGGTGGCAGTAGTAGTAATAGCACGACTCGGAAAACTTCTAATCGAGGTCCCAATCAATTTTTTAAGTTTACCCAATGGTTCATATCATTAATACAACATTATTAAATTTACTATTACTAATTTATAACATGGACTTTTTTTTTAAAATTTTTACTTAAAAAGTCTTGGACCTTTTAATGTATCCATGATTCTTAATTATAAGTCCCCAGGTCCCGTAATAGC